ATCAAGAAATTGGGTTGGCCAAATATCACAGAGCAAGTTAAATAAACGATTAGTTTATTTTTGCTCCACTGTGCTCTGCCATCTAAAAGCACATGTGCTCGTGGTCAGGATATGCTCTCTTTATTTTTAATATACATACAGTTAAACCTGTCTATAGCGCCCCCTCTTGGGACTCACCAAAATAGGGTGCTATAGAAAGGGGGTGCTATAGACAGGTCACTTTTAATGTAAAATGTTTGCATTTTAATGTTTAAAATCGGGCGCTATTTAGAGGGGGCGCTATAAACAGGTTCAATTCTATATTCAATTAAAAAGGCATATATTGGATCAAAATATCATTTATTCTACCAATATTTCAGTTGGCTGAATGCCAACCTTTATCAAGGTATTAAAACATACTGATATGTGTCAACAACCATCAACCATTGTTGTCGTTCAGCCAACTGAAATATTGGTAAAATAAATGATATTTTGATTCAATATATGCCTTTTAATTAAGGATTTATTTATGGATTGCTCTAATATTAAAAAATATATATATTTATATATATATTCATATACTCCTCCTCCCTGTAAAGGACACCTAATTGCAGAGTCAAAGTGTCCTTTAGGGAGAGGTGTCCTCTTGCCGGAGAGTTGCTGAAATGTAAAAATGGTAATTTTGCAAATGAAAACTTTCCTTTATTGAGAGGTGTCCCATAGGGGAAGTGTCCATTCATGGGAGTTTTACTGTATAAGGCATAAACTGTATACAGTAGAACCTCCCTGTAAAGGACACCTAATTGCAGAGCCAAAGTGTCGTTTAGGGAGAGGTGTTCTCTTACCGGAGAGTTACTAAATTGTAAAAATGGTAATTTTGCAAATGAAAACTGTCCTTTGTAGAAAGGTATCCCATAGGGGAAGTGTCCACTCATGGGGGTTTTACTGTATAAGGCATAAACTGTCTACAGTAGAACTACCTCCCTGTAAAGGACACCTAATTGCAGAGCTAAAGTGTCCTTTAGGGAGAGGTGTCCTCTTACCAGAGTTACAGTAGAACCTCCCTGTAAAGGACACCTAATTGCAGAGCTAAAGTGTCCTTTAGGGAGAGGTGTTCTCTTACTGGAGAGTTACTAAATTGTAAAAATGGTAATTTTGCAAATGAAAGCTGTTCTTTGTGGAGAGATGTCCACTAAACGGAGGTTCTACTGTATATATACAGTGCGGCAAATAATTTTCAAGACTCGCGCTAGATAAAGGCCAATAGCAGAGCCAGTTATGAAATTGCGCATGCGTATATATATTCGAAGCCTTATCTAGCGCGTGGCTTTGTTTCAGCCATTTTGGTTAACTCTTTAAAAACATACAGGCGATTTTTGAAAAGTAAAATTTTTTGTTCGTCGGAATTCTGAGATGGAACAGAGAGCGGTCATTAAATTTAATGCAAAACTTGGTAGAAGTGCATCGGAAACATATATTTTGATGAAGCAAGTTTATGGTACGTTATGTTTGAGTAAATCAAATGTTTTCATTTGGCACAAACGTTTTTCGGATGGAAGAAATACGCTAGAAGATGATAAGCATACTGGACGACCAAGTTCTTCAAAGACACCAGAAAGTATAGAAAAAGTGCGAGAATTTGTTGAAAACAATGATGGCAGAGGTTTTACACATCAACAAAGAAACGATTCGAACCATTCTGCATGAAGATTTAGGTAAAACTAAAGTCTGTACTAAATTTGTTCCACACACTTTAACGGGCGAGCAGAAATCAGTGTGAATTGCACATTGCAGGGACATCATTTCTGCCTATGAAAATAATTCAAACTTCCTGAAATCAATTGTTACGGGTGATGAAACATGGTGTTTTCAGTATGACCCAAAGACAAAGCGCCAAAGTGCCGAATAGAAGTCAAAAAACTCTCCACAAGCCAAAAAAAACGCGAAAAGTGCCATCAAAAATCAAAACAATGCTGATTACCATTTTCGATAGTAGAGGTATTATCCACAAAGAATTTGTTCCCGCTGGACAAACCATTACTGGAGAGTATTATTTAAACTTTTTGAAACGTTTGATTGCCAGAATTCGTCGCATTCGTCCAGAATATCGCGATGAAGACAGTTGGTGTTTGCTGCATGATAATGCACCGAGTCACTCCTCACTCATTGTTCGTCGCTTTTTGGCCAAAAATAACGTCTGTGTGTTGAATCATCCTCCGTACTCGCTTTATTTAGCACTATGTGACTTTTATTTATTTCCAAAAATAAAATTGAAGTTAAAAGGTTGTTTTTTTTTTATGATATCCCGACCATCCAGAGAGCTGCGACGAGCACTTTGGAGGCGATTCCTCAAAGTGGCCTGCAAGAGGCATTTAATTCCTTATTAAATCGTTGTAACATATGTATTGAATCCAGAGGGGATTTTTTTTAATAAAAAAATAGTAGAAATTGAATTAGCTTGTTTATGTTTTATTTTACAAACCCATTCTTAAAAATTATTTGCCACACTGTATATTCATATAACTAGAGAGACATCTATCCCTTTTTAATTATACATCAGAACAATGTATTATGTTCATTACCCTAGTGAAAACTTTAATAGTGGTGATAAGCCACAACACCAGTTTTAGCAAATTCTGACAAAAAGCCAACAACCTGTATACCATGGTTTTAGGCTATGACAATTTGACAATTAACCAACTTTATTGACATCTCGTCAATCTTTACACTCAAAGGGAGTTATAAGGTAATAATAATGGTAGGAATGAAGAGAGATATATACAATCGACGTAGCCCTCTCCGAGGGCACGTCTGGATCAGGAGCTTAAAGCCGCCTTGAATCTAGACAGATCCCTGCCATTTGTGGAGTTCATGTTCGAAACATGTTTGATGATAATGTCGAAGAATTTATCGAGAAGAATCTTGTCTTCAAGCGTGAGTAGCCCGAGGAGGTGCTCCGTTTCTTCTTCGTAATAGACCGCGAGTATGATATCCATCCTGACCTTTATATATGGAGTGCAGGAATTCTCGATCCTTCAATCGGATGAGTAACTTTTCTATGTCCACATCGCCCTTAGGCTATGGCCCTCATCAATACAGGGCCGGCATTGAGAAGGGTTATGGAATCGATCTAATTTACCAAACATGTGTTTAATCTGGTCAAGTGGCGCAAGGGTCAATTTTCAGTCTATAATACAATATAAAGTTGCGGGAGGATTATATTTATGTACCTTTTGTATGAATTTGCCAAAACTGGTTATGTGGCTAATTATTCAGCACCACTAGTAAAGTTTTTTACTAGGATGTTGAACAAAATGTATTGTTCTTATGTATAATTAATTTATTTATAAATTTTCCATTGTACAAGACACCACCAGTATCTTCTATTTTTAACACAGTGAAGGTTTTGTTGACTTTGCTTAGAATTATTAATGAAACTGATTCCAATAATTATTAATTAAACATTATATTTATTGATTTACAAGAGAGAGAACAAAATATAAAAGGGAAACCAATATTAAAACAAAGAAACTTTTTTCTGTTTCGGTTAGCGCCTATTTACCTGTGAGCTTACACACACTCTGTGGAACAATTAATTAATATATATACAACAGATTTGAATAGTACCGATTGACTAGGTATAATTGGATGTTTGAGTTGAAATCTGCCATCTAAAACACGGTAGCTTGGAATTACACGATGGGTTTATTCCAAGAGAACATGTTTTAGCAGGTAGTATCGGTATAGCAGGACATCACAGTAGCTGCAGTGCGGTCGTATGTTCTTCCCGTGGACCTTACACTCGGTTTCAGACAGATCCTGTTGGTACTTGCGGAGGATGGTACAAGCTTTGGGCACGCCAACCTGCTCGATATTAAAGCAAGGAATGTTGAGTTCATCTAAGATGGTCTTCTCCATGGATCCTCCCTTATACAGGAAGATACCTAGTACGTCCTGGTACAGATGGCCAAGGTAGTCATGGATACGTGAGAGCCAGGGATACTCAAAGTCCATAGGAGAACTACGATCGATCAGGCTGTGGAGGTCCAGAAGACAGTAATCATAGGACTTCCTTTCTTCTTCTCCCAAGTCCGTGGGGGTGTAGAACTGGAGATGGTCCCCCAGAGATAGCTGGCATACGTGGAGCCATGATAGCTCTCGATAGATGATTCTCTTCCCCGGGTGGATGACACCCTCAAAGTCGAGTATCAACGTCGCCTCCTCCATCTTTGAAGATTTGCTCTAAAAGGTTTCGAAAGTTTCTTATTTTGGCCATTATATTTAATCACTCCTAGTTACTGGCAGCTTTATAATTATGCGACATGTAAAAAAGGCATTTCTGTAATCTATTTAAATATATATTGTTACAACGCGCTGGTAAAGACTCTCATGTAAATATTGTCATTACCAATTCATTTTAAACTGTTAATCAAATTAATTTTGATTTTTCTGATATTATCAAGTATGATATAAATTGTTTATATTTTGCTATTCATAGCGCTCCCTTCCTGTTACTTGAATAACAAAACCTCATCCTTTAATGCGAACTCGTTCTGGACTGTTCTATGGTCACACCAGTGAACAAAAGCCATCTACGACTTTTAACAAGTTTTACTGCAAATGTTTCTTTTTACAGAACGAAGAATTGTAATTTTCATTATTTAAGGAGAAATAACGATTATTCTTATCCTTAGGGATGAAGTATGAAAGGATGAATTGTGAAGAATAATGATTATTAATTAAACGAAAAACATGGTGAAGGAAGACGAGTTTTTTTTATTGATGCATAGGTGCAAGCTTTCGGGTAAAAACCCTTCAACAGGCGAGCAATGAAGCGCGACTTATAAGAATTATGGTACAAATGGTAGGAAGGAAAATATATATATAAAAAAGGAAAGTTTTAAAACTATTTATATGTGTTAATATTAACAGAAGACCGATTTTTGAGAAAAGAAAATATTAAATCTGCAGTTTGAAACCACGAGACGGCGCAAGAATAATGATAAACGGTAAAATAAAAGTGTCCAGGAATGGGAATCGAACCCACAGTGTTCCGCTTACCGGGCAGATGCCATGTCCACTAGGCTATATATGGCACTAGGCTGTACACTTTTATTTTTCCGTTTATAATTACTCTTCACAATTCATCCATTCATACTTCATCCCTAAGGATAGTAATAGTCGTTATTTTTCCTTAAATAATGAAAATTATTATTTTTTTCGTTCTGTAAAAGGAAACATTTGCGGTAAAAACTTGTTAAACGTCCTTCTATAAGCATAGCCGCATTATATTGTATTATAAAGCCATCAACATCCCAAGGTGAAACAATATTTTAGACAGGTTTTAAAATCTATTTTGATGCAGATATTATATATATGGGTTCGTATTTTGACAAATAACATCCTCCTCTCAATAATCAATCTATTCCAATAGGAGGGAAATCGCTGAATATCAATTCCAAGAAGAGGTAAAAGCTGACGCCGAAGAGTTTCTTTAAAGAAAAGTTTAATCTTCAGGTGTCCAGCATTCCTGAGACATTGGATACAAACAGCTATCCTACTTGGACTGACCCACCTCAATCCTACATCTATGGCCGGCCTCAACCTCAGCATGGTACTTCCTGGTCAACTGGTTCACCTCAGCGATCAAAACAGGATGCGAGTAAAATCGATTTGCACTAGTCCATACTAGTGAGCTGATCTTCCTGGGTAGTTGGATTTCTGCGCGCTCCAGGAACCTGAGTTATATATATTAACTTCAATTATATTGTTTTTACAGTTAAACCTGTCTATAGAGCTCCCTCTAAACAGCGCATCGTGCCGTCCCGTCGCGTGAGAGTTGCGCCGATATAAGTTCTTTTTTCACCTTTCTACAGCCAGCTAGCTGGGATATGTAAACTAGTTAATTTTGTTACATTAAATTTTTTATTCCAATAAGGAAAGAAATAAAATAGGTAAAAATCCTTTTACTTTCATGTAAATCTTTTAAATTAAATTGTATACAAATTGGCGCCCAACGTGGAGCTAGAACCCACGACCCTGAGATTAAGAGACTTATGCTCTGCCGACTGAGATAGCCTATACACCGCCATATTTATAGCAATGGAGAAGTAATGCACTCACGCTAGGTCAGCGGAAGGTCCACGTGTTATCCACCGGGCAGATACAGCCGGCACAGCGGTGCGGCGGAGGGTTGGGCTCGGGTACACAGCGACCCTCGCACTTGGGCTGCGGGCAGGGGAACTCGCAGGAACACACATGGCAGCCTTGTGGGTCACGGTGTCGACG